AAGTCTTCTGCTTTTGTCAAAGCAACTGGTCTGACAAAGGAGTCATCTCTCTGTGCATAATTACTGAACATATTTTTAGTCTTTTATTGAAGACACTCCCTGGGCCTCTGGTACAGTACTGGAGGTGTTGAACTGAGATGTGGTATTCTGTCTCTGGTGGTAGAAACCTGCAGAATATGAAGGTCACTTAATGTTATTGTCCATTATATCAGGACTTTTAAATGCTACAGAGGCTTTTCTGTGAAATATCTGCAGAAGGTCTTGATTGTTTTCTATGTCTGATGGGACTTCAGTGACGTCATTTCCTTTTACTTTGCTTATTGTGTGTTTTGTTGCGTGCACACAATGCACTGTTTGTACAAACAGTACTCACACGCCCAAGTGAATTACGAAAGCACCTCAGATTAGCTTTGGTTGAGCTGTTTTTCCACAGAGCTCAGACTGTAGAATTCATCCCTGATTACTTCCACTGCAGTGGCTGAAACGATGAAAAAAATGTCTTCAGTCGGCCGTCTCATGCACGTCCAGAGGAACAGATATGCTTTAATTTCAGTCCTAGGTGTGTTCTTCACACACATGTTGGGCTCTGAATTATTCCAAAAAGTTGATGACCCACAGGAGGCTCTGGCCCGGACAGACAGGAGGAGGACAGGAGGAGCAATTTCAGAAACCAGAAGTGCTTCCAATGTTCGTACGACCATGTGAGCAATGTTTTTATAAAGAATTGGAACAAAGTGAACCCATCCTCTAACAAGTTGTTTGTATACTCAGTCATTTAGATTCAAGCAATTAATAGGTAAACAAAAATAAGTAGTGGGTTATCATTGGTTTACACTAACAAGGCAAGACATTGGCGAATTTTCCACCAAACGATTAAACTGCTTCCTTGTGCCGAACCTCCTTCTGGAAACGGCCGGTTCATTTTGGCCCCTCTCTTCACAGACACCTGCGTGACTGCCTGAGGTGACATCCTCAGCATTGGGAGGCTGACGTGAGATGAGAGCTCACGGCCTCTGCAGAGAGGGTGCAGCACAAAATTCTGAGCTCTCCATAATAAATGTCTGTGGGCCCCGCGTTCGTCTCTTGATCCATGTTTCTTATGTACGTTTTACAGTTGCACACATGCATCTGTAGTTGTCACTAATTAAATCATCATATTATATTAAAATCTTACAGCGATGTAAAAAAAAAACTGAAGTAGTTCTCACTTCAAATGAAATTGTCTTGTTTGAATCGGCCAAAAAAAGAAAAAAGCCTTTTGGTATTGAATCATCTGACAGCCGATTAGACTCTACCTCATTGATCACTGTGATCTGAAAATAATTTAGTTGTTCTCCTCCTCGGTTCTTTGACACATCTTGGCATCAAACATTTCCATCGGTTGAAGATTGCTGTATCAGGAATGTTGAGAATACAATTAATCCAAACTAATATACTTACTGGGCAAGGGACGAAGTATCACACTCAAATAAAACTGTCTTCACCATGAAGGACATGACACCTCAAAGTGAAGGGATTGCGTGTCATAACTTGTAATAATAAATCTACATCTGTGGATTCATTGTTCAAACATTCACGTGTACATCATTTTCCATCCGCCATGATTTCCTTCATCATTACATATCCATCCATCTATTCATCCATCCATCCATTATCTATACAGCTTGACCTGGGGGGGTCGAGGGGGGGAGCTGGAGCTGATCTCAGCTGACATTGGGAGAGTGGCGGGCTACATCCAGGACAGGTCACCAGAGTGTAGGGCTGACATACAGAGACAAGAAAAACATTCACATTTACATGCTGGTAATTTAGATTCTCCAATTAAGAAGCCATCACAAACACACCGGGGCTTTTCATGGCAATCAGTAAAAAAGTGCCATGTGTCACCAGAGGAAGATCAGGGCTAAAATCGACCACAGCAGCCTGAGAGTAGTACAAGGACCAGGCAGACCGACTAAACCATTCTGTGCCTTGCATGACTGGGGCCTCAGAGAGCCTGCACTTAAAAAATATATAATAGTACTAATGATAGTGTTAAAAATAATATTTTCAGTTCAGGCTTTTCAAGTCTTTGGGACCCTAGTTTGTCAGTCTCGCTTTTGACTATGACGCCTGTACCGCACAACACGCAATGTCGACTGTCTGGAACTCAGACAATTTGTGTCTCACCTGTGTGAGAAGCATATAATTTTAAAGTTGGGCAGCGACATGTTTGTTGATTACTTGAAAAGACAGGAAAATCTCTTGCCCTGCAGGCTTCACTGGAATGTGGTCGCTTTTTTTAGTTGGTGCTTTATTATAGCTGTCCCCCTGGAGACATGCAGTCAGGGGGGTCACTAAGACACAGTCAGATGATTCTGTGTGACATTGGAGAATGAACTACAGCGCCTGTGGTTTTTCCTGTACTGCTGGACTTCCACAACCCAACAAATCTCCCTGGCTCTCGACCTTTTTCAGCTTTCAGTCCATGAAATTCCTCTTTCGCCTTTGTGCTCTGCAGGTTGCTGAGCAGCTCTGTAGTGCGCACATCCTTCTGTCTGTTGGTGCAGGGAGATGTCATCTGAGATGTAGAGGAACTGTTAGATAGATCTCAAAAACTATCTAGGAAGTAGAGCTGCTGTATTTAAAATGATCATAATGGATGAATCAAATAGACCTACGGTATGTGACAGGTGTTATTGACACCAGCCCCTATATATTTATCACTCAGCACAGCAAGCAGTGATTTAGCTCTGATGGACTCGTGAACTCATTGAGTGCCATCTGCCCGGCACAAAACATCTCAGGTGAACACCGTGAAGCATTTAGCAGCCAAAGAGACAGATATATTTTCCACTGGAGTTGGTGGAGACCAAAATATAGTGAAAAGTAAAGGAATGGCTCAAAATCAATCCCATTATAGATGTTTTAGATTCCTTTACATCAAAAATATGTAAAAGAAAAACATTTCGCTATCAAATCCAAATCTTTTTTGAAAAAACACACAGTGCAGTGTCCATCTGGGGAGTTCTGTCTTAATACACAGTGAAACTCTTACAGATGATCCAGTATGTGATGGCGTGTCGATCAATGTAGAGGGGCACATGTCACCCCTCTGCTCACTGACCTCCAGAGGCTATAGCAAATTCAAGTCACTAATATTTGCCTACAGAGCGACGTCTAGGTCTGCAATCATCTACTTGAACTGTCACATGGGCTAGTGTGAGGGCTATGTACTTACATACATAGTGATTGTATGTAAGTATTCAAAATGAATTTAATTGTAGGCTTAACTTGAGTATTCAGCCAGTAAATAAAATTAATGAACTTTATCAAATATTGCTATTTTTCCTGAACTACACAAACGTGAACGGCATATATGAGAAAAATTACCATGACAAACTATTTACCATGATAAACCAGTTTCGCCTCTCCTCCAGCTTGATGTGTCATTCTGCAGTGACACATCATGGAGACCAGACATATTAGCCAAAGGTTTCTCTCTCTGATGAGAGATTGTGTAGCGTAGTGCTGTCCTCCTGTCAGCAAATATTTACTTTGACTTCACCACGACTCCAAGATTCCTGATCATACGACAAAAAGTCTGCACAGCGATCCAATGACTTTTAAAGTTGTGTTGGCATAGGGAACTTTGTCTGACGCTGCCATCATCTTATTTGAGCTGGGGGGAGCTGTCAAATATTGTCAGAGCAGGATGGTCCCCCTCTAGCTACAAAAACCTCTTGAAGACTTGTCTCTTCTGATATAGATGTTGAGAGCAGGCATGGGACAGTCCCCATCCACTGTCTGCACCAATGCTATTCCCCATTTAAGGAAGAGAACTGGTGTTTAGATTTATCTGACTTCAATGTCTGTCGTTAACATTTCCTTACAACATAACTAATGTATTCTTCATAGCCTAGACATGGTTATCCAACAACTAAATTAAAAAAATACAGCCTCGAGCACAGCCCCCCTCTATCCTGTACACGGGTTAACTTAATTAGTTTTTTGGCGATTTCATTTCTTCACAACACAGTTGTATGTGGAAGCAATTTGATGCGGATGTGAGTGTGCCATTTAGTGGCAGTAAATGTAAAACTTTAAATTAAATCCTACTGATAAAAGTTAGTTATGATATTAAAGGTTTTCATCATGCAGATGATTAGAACATTGAGAACAGTATGAGATGAAGGTTCATTGATGAACAAAAACAACATTTTTGATGAGATGTACGCATGTTTTATTCTGTTGGTAGTTTAATGGATAGAAAATTAAATCTGCACAAAATAACTGGAACTTCAGCTGTCAAATAGTGACTAAGTACAATATTTTCAGAATGTTGTGAAGTGAAACTGAAAAATGTACTTAAGTACGGTACCTTAGTTATAGTTAAGGTACTTTCCAAAACACTGCCACTGGTTGATGGGATATAACTCCAGAGCAGCAGGATTCAGAGAACAACAATTATTATTATTAATATTATTCGTATTAATATGAATAGGAGTAAAAGTAGTAGTATTAATAATGAATTAAGTAATAATTAATAACATTCATCCATAATTATCACTCTTATTGTTTTCATTATAACAACTAGCCTGTCGGAGCTGAAACCTGATGGTGCTCAATTGTTCCTGGTCTCTCTCTCCTCTCTCTGAATTAATTCATTTTCACACAAAAAATAATCAGCTGTTTTTCTGAATTAATGGGATAATTTTCCTAAAATATAAAAAAAAACGGTCCGTGTTTCTGAATTAGCTATTAGATAATTAAAGTAAAGTTTTATACAAAAAGAATTGGATTAAAAAATAGACTATTTGTAGATTACAGTGTGTGCACAGTTTGTGTGTGCTTTTCAACACATGATGATAATGAGCCCAGCGGGTTAAAGTGTGCGCTGACGCCAATTCCCATTTCACTCACCTGTGAACTGGGCGTGGACCACATGCCCCGGGCAGGGGGCGGGTCCTTCCTGGTGACAGTACAGACAGGTGTGAGGGAACTGTCAGTCACTCAGAGGGCAGGTGCTGCTCCTGCTTCAAGTTGCTGTTGAGACAGAGTCCGGTTCCTCAGTTCTTTCTCTCTAGTTGGACAAAATGAGAGGGAAATATAAAAGAAGGAACTCCAGCGACGGAGGTGACGAGACGGCTGACGTCGTCAAGGGGCTCTCTCGGGAAACCGCGGCGGGCCTGACGGAGCCTGACACACCTTTCCCGGGCTTCACCAAGGGTATGAGTTGTTGTTCTGGAAACAAACTTGAAGTTAACTTGTGTTATTGTCCACAGATCTGAAGAAGACACGTGTCTATGATAGTTTCTCTCTGGTGTAGCTAATAAGCTGCTATCTGCAGGAATCAGAAATACTGAAATAACCACACTGTCCCTGCAAGTAGTGGGAGAAATTCACATTTCCATAGTAATGGGTTAGGTAGCAAACATCTTTCTGACAGCAAGATAATTGTTGTTGTCATTTTTGTGAACTTAATTTACATGTCGCTCTAGGTTTACAGAAGCTCCTGATTCTGTTACTCTGCGTCACCGTTGTGTATCTGCTCCCACCATTGTGGCTCACTGTTGGTTGTTTCCTCCGCAGGTGCAAGACGTGCCATGTATGACAGTGAGAAGGTCTACCTCGGAGTTCGTGTCAAAATGCCAGTGAGGGATCTACTGAGAAACAAGCGTCTAGCCCAAGGCTGGGAACCTCAAGATTCTAAGGTGACAAAAACTAGTATGTTTTAACTGTAAAGATAAACAAAGTCAGTAGGGCTGGGTCACTGTAAATATTCACAAACCGGATTAATATTGGATCAAATCCCAAAGCAGTATACTGGATTTTAGTGTCACACTTGACTCACCTGAGGACAACGCATTGAGACTATGATTATGTTTTAGATTATGTTGGGAAAAAAACAGCATTTAGCCACCGTAGCAGCTCACACAGCAGCACTAACACTTGCAAGAGCACCAACGACCAGATGAGTTGCGATGAATACACTTTACCAGTCTGTACGTTAGCTCGTAGCTCACACTCAGTCCAAACAGAAAAGTTAACTCGTCAACTTGCAATGTGAATGGAGTCAATCGCCTTTTTTTTTTTTCAAAAACCTGCAAATGTTCACCTACATGCTACCACGTCTTCTCAGAAAAGCGACACAATCTATCTTGTAAACAACATGTGCTGTTCCCATCTTCCTCCACCCTTCAATAACATTCATTTACTTCATGTTGTCAACCTTGGCTCAGATGAGCCAACCAACTGCATTTATATTTTGGTTTCCTGGTTGTTGCATGTCTATAAAAACAGAAGGCAAAATAAACAAATAAAAGGGTTTGGCCAGATCAACAAAACAATGGAAAAATGATATAATTACAGTCTGAATTACAGTAACTTTAAGGTCGGGTTGGTAAATTGTTTCTGAAACACTTTTAATGCCCCCAAATATAAACATCATCTGTTTTGTGGCGTCTTACTATAAGATTAAGGTGAAAGGGATTTTTGGCAGAAATTGGATATAAAATAATCATAAGGATGCTAAAGAAATTGTTGTTTTCTTTACCATAGAAAAGACCCTTTATATTTAAAAACTATATTTACATGGAGGGGGGTCTTCTCTGTGGAGGTCGCCATGATTTTTACTCTCGTCCAAACTGGACAAACTAAAACCTCATGTTTGGAAGGGGAGGGTGAGATGAGGAGTATTCAGCTGCAACATGCAAATTCACCACTAAATTCTACACACTGAACCTTTAAAGCAAATTTAATGTAATTGGTTTGGAGCTTCTTTGTTACTTTCTGTATTTTGTGCCCCCCTGATCAACATTTATTAAAATAAGATAACACTATTCCTAATGGCGACCAACCAAATTTTGAAAAAATGCTCAGAATCTGCCGAATGTGATTCCGGTCTAGTGCTCAGTTGTGTGTTTATCAAAAACATGTCCGTCCCTCTAACTGTATTTGGCAAACAGATGACGTGTTGATGACTTGTGGTATCGAGCATTGCAACAGTTTTTAGTCAGGAAGACATTTCACAACCAATAAAAAACACATTTTCAATATCACAGCATAGTTTTCAATTTTCAGAAACTTGGCAGAATGGCCCATTAGATAGTGGGAATAATTTGCTTTATGGTGGCTCTATAGTTACCACTTGAAATAAAAAGATTCTAGGCAAGGCTAAAAGTTTTTCTATTGTCTAGTGTTCGTTTCAGTTGAGAAGATTTGAAGAAACCGATGAGTATTTGCTTATGCATCATTTTATTGGGGTTTCCAAACATGAGCCTGGTTATCCCAAATCAATTTGATCCTTATTTTGACAACTTGGACTTTGGGGCCCGCCCCCATAGTCGGTTGATCTTACATTCATGTAACTGCACTATATTTTCCTTAAAGGAGACTTGGTAAGAAAACATACATGTCTTTTCACTGCGTTGATTTGGTGCAACTAAGCCTTGGTGATATGTCTTGTAAATAATAGGTGTTGACAGCACTTAAAAACATAAATGCTATATAACACACACAAACGTACACATATTCATACCATAAACACACCCACACCCCTGTGATGTGTCCGCTGTTGGTCTGCAGTGTGGTTTGTTTTGAAACGTCTTTCTCAGGGTTTCTTGCTGAATGTAATTTTTGTTGTTGCTTTGAGCTCTGCTTTGTTAAGAGTCTTTGTTGGGCTGCAGCTTTATAGAACTAGGCTACAGTATGTAGGCCAGCATCACACCATTCTTTCTTTTCATATAACTGCTGTTAAAAGCCGATGTGCCTTTGCCTGGTCTGAATAAATACTGTTTTGTTAAATTGAACTGGTTTGTGATGCAAGGTTAAAATTGTTCCAACAGAAACAATAATGAATTTAAACAAGAATGTCTTAGTGCAGACTACAACAGGGACACGTTGTTGCAGGGACAAGTAGAATCTTCATTCTGGTGTGTTTGTATGTATGGAAGGGAAACGTGGCAGTCTTCATTACTAGTACTATTTCAAATGTTCAGACACATTTGTGGTACTGCTTCTGTGACAACTTGGTGCACAACCATTGTTTGTTTGGCATTTTCCTTGAGATACACAAATTACTGCCGGTGGATTTACAGCTGATCTCTTTAGCTTCTATTACTGTTTCTGATCACAATAGAAAGTTTAAATTAGAAACTCAATGTGGCGCTTAATTTCTTTTGACCCGTTCCCTCCAGATTCACGTCTCACCTCTGTACGTTGCATAAACAGGATATAGTTCTGGATTGGAGGGCGAGCATTTTATAGTGTGTCTGTGTGAGAGAGAGAGCCATAAACCTGCACTGTCCCCTACATACAAGATGTACATTAATGTTCATGTCTGAAAAGCATACAGACCTGCACTAACATAACTTTCTTTTTTCTTTTTGCATCATTCTAATTCAGGAGACATTCAGCAAAACAGTCAAAGGTCAGTATAAACCACAAGTATCATAGTAAATTATATGTTGTGTATATTATTTTTCCTTTAACAGATAAAATCCCCACAAGATACCAGCCTGCAGTCCTATGTAATGACTTTGTGGGCTAACATGCTCCACTTTCAGATTCAGACTTCACTTGTTTCTTCCACAGGAGACAAGAAACGTGTCAAAACTCGTGCAGGACACCAGACCACCAAGGTGAGTGTTGAAAAACACAGATCTCAACTCCCCCCAGAAGGTTCCTCAAAGATTTATGTGTAAAAAGTGGGTTTATGGATCCTTGTTGATCACATGTCGCATACTTACAGAAAAAACATCCAACAAAAAGCCTGGAGGAGCTGGCAATCATCGTTGAGGTGCTGGAAGAGGATCTTAGGACCAGCAACACCCGCCACTCCCCTTCTCAACCTCTGTCCTCTAACCCCCCAGTGTCCCCTGCGCTGTCTCCAGCTGGTAATTCACGTGGACCAAATCCACATTTATAAAATATGACCCTGAGGAATATATTAACAGCAACTACAACCACCACTCCTCACACTTAATGTCTTCCCTCCAACACACAGGGTACAACAGTGACGAGTCTGATGAAATGATCCCCAGCCCACAGTCCTACATGTCGTACTCACTGGGCACAGTGGAGTACCACCAGGCCCCGTCGCCTCTCGGCATCATGCACACCAGCCTTCAGCCTTCCAGCATCGCAGGTGGTAAAAGAGACAGTGGAGGAGGGGAGGAGCAGTTTGATCCCCAGAACCACAACTGGAACATAAACAGCTCTGCGTTCTTCTGGGCCCAGCTGCAGAAAGAAGAGAACCAGTTGAGGAACATCTCTGATGCAGCCCTACTGGCCACAGATGAAGATGGCAGAACGTAAGTTTGGTGCAAGTCAAGGAATTCTGCTTTTTTAAAACAATCTAGAAAGAAGTGAGTTCCCCAGACCAGCAAACTATCTGCCGTTCTGTGGCATGGTCGTTAATTTAGGCAAAAGGTTTTCAGCAAGAAAGAAGAATTCTCTGGTTCTGCATTAATTTAGATCCTTTCTATAAGTCTTCCAGTGACTTTTACTGAAGTTAGGATCAACTTTAGACAGTTAAGGTAATTTAGAGTGTGGCAGACTGAAATGGCTTCATGGAAAAGAAAAGTAAAAACGTGATGTTAAAAAAAGAAGGATAGAATCCAGAGAACCCAAAAACCAAGAGAAGTGCAATAAGAGGCTCACATTTCTCTCTACTTCTGTCTACTCTAGTGGTTTGGTCTGTTTTCTATGTACCCAGTCAATCTTTATATTTATTGTAATATCTGTGGCTCTGTGCTTCTTCCTCATTATGACTTCATAGGACGAGTATCCTGTGTTTTAGGATTACATTAGCATTCCTTAACCCAACAAGTCAAATCATGTTAGCTATGAGAGCCTGTATAAAAGATTTTAGGAGATGGAGAGTGAAGGGCAGTCTTAGGTACTAGTGTTGATGCCTGAATTCAGTTTAGCTGCTTCAATTTCAGGATCCTGGTTTTGTTCATGCTGTCTCACTGTCTGTCATGTCACGTCTGACTGGGACACTCGAATACAACAGAGACATCATTATGTTGTTTAACTTTCAGCTGTAAAAGGGTTTTGAGGACTAAGCCTATGTTGGTTCAGTTTGTTGAGCTCAGGCTCTCTGCTTTTGTTTGGCTAACTACACACAACCCATGTTCCAACCTGTTAAACTCTTACTAGCATTCTGCCTCTTTGTGTGTCAGTAAATACCTGTATTGTCATATGAATTTTTTTTTCTCTGTCTAAATATGCTGGATGTGTGTGTCTCTCCAGGGCTCTCCATAAAGTATCATGTGTCGGAAAGAGGGCACTGGGCTACGCCATTGCTAAAAGGATGGCCGTACTCAACAGCCTGGACCTTAAAGACTCTGACGGAATGGTACGGTATATTTCAATTCAACACATTTCAGATTTACTTCTCTAGTTTTTGATAATAAATCTGTCTCACCCTTAAGTACAGTCTTTTGTGTACAATTCATATTTGGGATTAGATGGATTCATTGGATTAAGTGTGCAAATTAAAGTATTAACTTCATAATATAATAATCCAAACCACTTAAAAACTCTATGACTTTTGTTTTCACAGAATTTTTGTTCACATTAGGCCATTTAAATGAATACGTACAATTTTGTTGTAATGTACCAAAACTGTAAAGTTTCACAGATACTCATTTAGTTTACACAATATATGAAGGAATAATGTAGAATCATACTAAAGTGTGAAGGAGGTGTTTGAACCTTAATTCTTAAAATGTACAGCTTTATTTAAACAGGTAATCAGAGCATTCACATCAATAAGGATTCAGTGTTAAAATGTCTAATGCTGTTTCTGTCTCGGCAACAGACATAAGGAATCCATTATTGACATTTATGCTGCATTTCTTATCATTGGACAATATGTAGTTTAATGTTAATTGCCTCCTTTTCCCAGACCGCCCTGCTGCACGCAGCGAATCACAACCATCACCTCATGGTGGCAGATTTGATCTGTTTGGGGGCCAACGTCAATGAGACGAACAATTCAGGAAAGTCCTGCCTGCACCTGAGCGCTGAGAAAGGCTACATCCGAGTCCTGGAGGTTAGAGCCTTGTTTTTCTCTCCACTTCCATGTGTTTAGGACAGTTTCTTTCAGACAAGACCGATAGTATTTTGTGAAAAACATGATGCAACGATGTTTCTTGTCATTGGCTTTTAAATGACACTGATAGGTCACCGATTATGTCAGTCTTTCTTAACTCAACTTTAGAAAATGGAATTATAGTCAGGTTCACACGATTGTGTTAGGAAGCCTCTTTCCTCTTTGTTTCTATTTTCGTGGTTATGGAAATGTTCTCACACATCAGATCACGTTCACTTTTGAAGAGCAATTTGACTCCATTTGTTATTGTGAGTTATTGGATGCTGATGTGGTTGCCCCTGATCCAGACTAACAGGTTAAACAGGTACATATCCTTTGAATATGTGTACATGAAAGTTTCCTCTGCGTCAGAGTCAGTACATAAAGTCTTTCATTGGTGCAGATGAAAAGCTCAGACAAAAACTAACACAACTGGTTCTGTGAGACACAGTGGCTGCACATAACGTATCACTTAGTGTCATCTCAGCAGCGTCATGTGTTAAGTCAACCTGTTTCATGTCTGTATGATGGATGACTGTACCGTCGGGAATGACAGGTAGCATTTTATCATGCTGATGCTTCTGTGCATTTAGATCATACTGTGGTTTATGTGCAGACTGCACAGATCAGATGTTTCAGGTTTTCTTAGCAGAAGATAAGTAGCAACTCGGGCAACCTGTCATTATGCTTCTAAGTGAATGTTTCTCTGTGTTGTATTAACTTTTATAGACCAACTCAAATACATACAGCAGATGTTGTTGGACAAGAGTAATGTTTTCTTTACGTGAAAGGAAAACTCACCCACAGACTTTATCTTCTTGGAGAGTCACTGCAGCAGTGAAGGCACAGTGGTAGTTATTTGTAGAGGTCGACCAAATCCTCGGTTTGCACTTGTACACTCTGGAATTGTTGCACCCTGAGTGATAGCTCTGATCTGAGAGTAATGATCCTGTCAGTAGTTTTTGCGTAATCCTTTCTGACTCACAGACAAACAAACAAAAAAGAAGAGTGCATCACCTACGCTGCAGTAATTATGAACAAGATAGGATTGTTGGCTGTATTATGACATTTTTTTATTCATTAGACTGAAGATAATCTGCTCTCTCTGTTTAGCTTGCGAAATAAAGTATAATTATAGGTCCAAACTAACCATAAAAGAAAATCCCAACTCATTAGGATCATCCGTACTCCATGAATATGCACAAAGATGAATGGTTTAAGAGTAAGAGGATGTAATCTTGACCTGCACAGAACACTGCTCCGCCCATTATAAATACAGCTTTAACATAAACAAAAATTGTTTCAGTGAAAATGAAGCATGCAGAAGAAGCTGGTAAGGCTACTTATCTTCTTGTCGTGCATGATTGCCCAAATTCTAGCTGTTGATGCAGTGATAAAGGGCTAATTCACCTTTTAGATAAGCTAATTGTAGCTGCTTGGAAGCTTGTAGACTTGTGTCTGCTGAATTTTATAGTGTTGCTGCACTTTTCCTCAAAATGTTTCCTTTGTTATCGTAAACCAAATGTAGTTTGCATGTTGGGCATGTTAGATACTTTTTTTCTTGGTCCATTTTGAAATTTCGAATCTAAACAATTTATCAGTGAAAGAATAAGAAGTTGTATTCATGATCAAATAAATCAAAAAATTTTCATCAGTTTCAACATTCAATAAATGCAAGTGCCCTCCAGGAAGTATAAACTTACAAAACTACCTGCAAGCAATCTGAAGGCTGCGGCCGTTTGTTACGTGAATGCCAAACATTTCCAAAGCATTAATTTTCCAGTACATGCTAAACCAGTTGGGTGTAACATAACAAATGTTGTAACAACACAAAAACACCAGCACTCTCATTCACTCATTCATGTTGTTCTGGGTTTGTTCCCACATGGTTGAGCTACACTCTGTCAGACTGGTTGTTACGGTGAAAACAGTCATCGTGATAATTACAGATGTGAAGGTGATGCTGAAGAGACATAGAGAACACATTTGTTGTCGGATAATTAGTGTCTGTCAGTAATCTACATCCCTACAGAAAGATCTCAGAGCTGCCATTTTCTCCATCCAAGAGCAGCGTTGCAAAGCTGCTATGGAAGCTCAGAGTGTGTCCTGTGCTGTGTTTTATTGCAACTGTCTTGCAACATCTTTAACTCATGTGTATGTTTTCTTTTAGGTTCTAAAACACTCAATGATGGATGGTGTGTATGTCGATGTCGAAGCCACTGATAACTGCGGTATGTACTAATAGAAATTATAATAATAGTTAACTATTTATATAGTCCTTTTCCAAACTGGAGGCAAGGTACCGAACTGTCAGTTATGCATAATGCAAAGACAAAAAATAATTAAAACAACATTGTACCTTACAATGGAAAGTATAGAAGTTGATGCTCCAACCACAGTAAAATAACTGCGGAGCTTTCAAATGGTACTTTTAAACTCAATCAAAACATGGTAAGAATTATTATTTATATTAAGATTATTGTAACAAATGGACAATGATAATATTTGAAAATTAGTAGTAGTAGTAATATTGTGAACATTTTGTGTAGTTAATGAACTGTCTCTGACAAAATTACATTGTGTAACAGCTGCACTGAATCTGAGACTGGTTTCAGTCAAGCTCGTGTCATGTTTTTCTTTGTTAGTTACCGCTTTAGCTCAGGAATGCTCAATTTTAAAGTGAAAGATTGAGGTGCACTTACAGGGAATGAGTGCAGTAATTATCCCTTTGTGTTCTCAGGAATGACCGTCCTCCAGTGTGCCTCAGTAGCTCTGAAGGCCACAGTATGTGAGCTGGAGAGCAGTAAATCCCCCAGTCACACCAGACTCCAAACCCTCCGCCAAGAGCAGATGATGGAGACCCTGGAGATTCTGCTGCACATGGGCTGCTACTTTCTCACCATGATGCGGCACCCTGTAAGAACTAAAGTTTGGCTTCTTTTCACGTTTCATGAAAAAAAATGTAACAAAGGGAAACTAGGTCTTCAGTTAGTGACAGTAAAGAGAGAAAGGACAGGACAGGCAGGAGAAAGAGGGGGGGGTGCCATCCAGCAAAGGGCCGGGGGGTGGATTCAAACCCAAAGCTGTAATCACTCAGCTCTGATGTAGTACATGTTCAGCCAAGCAAACTATTCTTATAGAAGCAGTAATCACTACCCAACTGCTGCACCATCACTCGTGTGTTCTGTTTTGCTCCTCGCTCACAGCCCACTGACAGTTGTAGGCAGAGGACATTCAAACAGATTAAAACCGTGTTGATCACATCGAGCCCAGTTGTCTCCTATTTGTAGTTAAGCTTTTTTGGAAGAGCAAAGCCGGATAGTAAAGAGTATGAACAAATAATGACTCAACATGTACTTGAACTATAGAGTGTATTTACAGAGATATAGGTCGGGTTCCTCCCTGCTCCCTTGTGGTTGTGGAATTGTATTGAATGTTCTCTGCACAAACACATTCACAACAACATCAAATCTTCTGCTCCTCCGAGCTGTAGCAGCCAGGTGCTTTAGACAGAGGCAGGCATTGTCGTATTAACTCTGCTGCAGAGCTGAAGTGATTTTGTTTACGGCACCGTCGTCGGCTCTTATCACCAAAAACTCTCTTGACATCTTCGTCTGTGTCTTCTATGTGTGTGTCACCACTTTTTCACTGGAAGATATTTGTTTTGTTTTTGTTTTTTCACCTTTCCGTGCTAGTCACTGTGTTAGCTCACGGTGAGTCCAGTAGGGGATCCCTTGTGTTCTCACATGGACTTCTCATGGAGGTCAGGTGGATAAAATCCGTAGAAACTGCAGAGCGTCTCACTCGGACATTTGCATTCACACGTGCACCTCCTCTAGAGACAATCCGGAGAAATTGCGGAGTCCAGTGCATGTCTGAAAGCAGCTCATGTGTTGCGGTCAAACAACTGGAAGGGAGCACCCTGTAGGACATTTTGGACCTACAGAGTCTTTTTGTATGAATTGCCTCGCAGGCGAGATCAGGTTGTTTCTGAAGCCGGATGCGCCCCAGGCCTGATGTAGAATATGTTATTGTTAAGTATGCTGGTATGCATTTGAAGTGTCATGCAGAGAAATTTGCGTGAGCAGTGGTTGCTAAGTTCTGTGTAGGGAAGTCATGTAGTCTCATGTACTCAACTTGTTTTTGAGTAAAGTTTTTGAGTTTTGTTCTATTGTTGGACCTTCTGTCTCTGAGGCAATGGAACACTTTGTTTTGAAGTCTTGTTGAGAATGAAAAGGGATGTCAACATTTGTATTTGTTCAACACATAAAATAATAATATCAGTATCAGCTATTCGTTTATACTCATTTTGAGCATGACGTGATCAGCCTGCTAGTGTTAGCATTAATTCCAAAGTGAGGCTGAATTGAGGTGACAACATAGAACTGAGCCTCACAAGATGTATTTAACACTGAACTAAGTGTTACCAATAGAAACAAATGTTTTGTGTATTTGTTTTTAAAGTCGTTTTAAGTTTTAATCATTCCTTTTTTCTCTCTCTCTTTCTCAGGGAGGCTGGAGCATGCAACCTAGAATTGGTTGAGCCTCTGGCACACCCGCCCGGCAGGGCACTTTGGAGACCCAACAGTAATGTTCTGAGTCGGTTCAGGCCTGAATTGTCACAGAGAGACCTCAGTTATTGGGGTTCTTTTCGCTCTGAGACTGAGTTCAGGCCTGTAATGTAAAGCATCTGATGTTTTGTGTGTTGTAAAAATGCCTGACTTGCAATCAGGTGTTTATCATAACATGCACAGAAACGTCAGGTGCCCATTGGCTGGTTTCTGTGAAACTTCCATTGTTTGTTACATTTGAGTAACAAGTTGTTCTCAGTAAGTGTGTGTCTGTAGAGATCCATACGTAAAATACAATGAAAATATTTTTAATTTTTTGACGCTGGTTTTAAGGGTCCAGGCGTGTTTTAAAAGCCTGGACCCTAAATACAATAGTTACTGGCAGGGAGGGAAAGTCTTATGGACATAGTTTTAGCTTGGATTGTATTTAAGCAGCAGCTCCACAGTGTGTTGCTGCATATGATCCAAAAATCATTGATTCCAGTTTTATCAAGAATCCCACAATAGATTTGTTATTCTCTTATACAAACTGGACGCTAGCTCTCCCTACTGGGACCCAGCTCAGTCAAAGAGCTTTACAGCCATTGATTTTACATATTGGATCTTTAAAAAGACTTATGTTCTTGAGTACATGACAAGTTTTAGTGAATATTGCAAGGTGATGGGGAGTGAATATAGTTTAATTTAACTCCCAGAAATGACTCATGCAGGGAGTATTTTTAACACTTGTACATACCATACACTCACTGAGTTCTTATTGCGAAACACCTACTTCAATTATCCAATCTGTCAATCATGTTGCAGCAGCACATTCTACAAAACCACAGAGATGTAGGGCAGAAACTCTTTTTTCATTTTTATATCAATCGAGAATGAGGAACAAGTTTGATCTCAATGACTCTGACACAGTTGTTGGTGATGACCCAGTTTCATTATGTGTCTCTATCAGAAATGGTATCAGTTTCAGTAAGAGTATATACTATAATATGTGCCAGTAGTATTTGCACATTGTCACTTCATTTCTGATTCAGATTCTTAATGGCCCACAGACAGACGAGAAAACTATGGGTCAGTAGTTTCTGTCACATGGATCAGACAGTGTTGGCCAGAGTCATCATCATTATAAAATTATCATTATTATTTGTCAAGATGCAGTTTGCAAATATTACTATATAAATAATTCTACTGCTCCAGTGTGTATTTCTTTATAACCAGGGTAATCGGGACGTTGTGTTGTACCGTTCATATTAAGGTTTGAAAGTCCAGTAGTTGCAGACTGATGAGGTAAAACATTATGACCACTCCTGCTTAATATTCGGTTAGTTCTTCCTGGGCCACCAAAAGAAAATCTCTGTCCCCCCCTGTGGACCACTGCCGACTGCGAGCAGCCCACAAGCCTTTGTGTTCCTGAGATTCTCCGACCCCAGTCGCTTGACCATATTAGTTTGGCTCTTGCTTTTTTTCACCACGTACACTACATGTATAAGAGTTTGCGTATCATCTTTTGTCTCGCACACCTTGACATGTGCTGTGAGGTAATCTGCATTATTTGCTTCATCTGAGAGGAGTCGTAATGTTTCAGCTCATCTGCTCTTATTATAGTTGAAGCCTTTTTTTAACAGGTAATCATGGGAACTGTGACACTTGATTGTTCCTCAGATCAGTTTAGGCTATATAATCCATGCCGTCACAAATTATTTTTTAAATGTACTGTATATTGTTTTTTTTACAAATGAATAGTAGTTTGTTTTCATCTTGGTGAGCCAACAATGGATCAATTTTGGTAATTATTATTATCACAGGTATCATAAGCTCAGACAGAGATGCTGGTATGAGGTTTAATAAGTTCTAATAATGATATAGATGACAGCAGTATTTTTTTTACTGTTGTTATTGTTGGTGTGTAGAAGACAATGGTTCTGTTAAATCATACTTCTGTCATGTTAGTGTAAATGAATATTCCACTATATTAAACAATTTTTGAATTATCTACTGTTTTGTGTTTGTTATTACTGATGATAGTCATACAATTATAACACTAATCAACAGTTTTATTTACTGAATAAAGAGAAATGAAATGGGGACATTGTTTGTTGATTGAATAAGAGGTATTAACAGTATGCTCATTTACACTATTGTAGTATATGAATATAAAATTGATATATTCAGTATCTTACATGTTAATTTATGGTTTAGCGTTTTCAGAGTGGGAGATATTACATTTAAAAAGAGCAATTAAAAAATTAAAAAGAGAACTCATTGAACAGACCAACTATATGTGATATGCTTGAATAGACTCCCTAAGACTCCACTCCCCCAGAGTAAGAAACCAATAAATGTATTTGGTGCAGTCTGGAGTTGTATCAAAGCAGCAATGTGAGGTTGTTAAAGTTCCCATATCTTGGCACTTTACAGGTTCATAATATTTGTTGCTTGTCTAGAAAATGTTTACCTGTGGTACTGGTGAGAAGTAAACTCATCTTCATGAATGGTGATGAAGACACTTTAAGGAACACAAGCCATTAGGACAATGGAGGAATTTCAGGCTCTTGGGAAGGAAAGTGTACGATCTGTGAGGGAGAAGGACTCCCTTTGTCACAAAGTTTGATCTTTGTAACCTTTAGGAGAATGAGATATTATACAAAGACCTTAAATCTTAAAACCGTAACGCAGTCAAAGAGCACCTTCCTCATGACTATTTCACGTGTCTCCTAATGATTGTTGCCTTGACGTGTCCGGGCTTGCAGGGTTGGCGTGGGTAGAGGACCAGTTCCGCAGCTATGAACAGAATTCCCCATGGGAAACAGTCAGCCACCCTAACTCATGTCTTAATTTTGTAATTTATTACATTAGTAACGAGAGCATTTGTCAAACTCAGTGACTGTAGGTGAGACTCATCGGTCACATAACTCAGCTTCTTGAGAACTCTAATTTAGATTCTTAACAAATTTGAGGAACCACAGAGCAATGAATAAGAGATGGAGGAGGAAATGAAGGCCATTACAAGCGGGAGGGCAAAATGTTTGTAGGTTAAGTCAACAAGGAGCAATAGGCAGTATCACAATCATAAAAAAATTTTGTTTTTAACCTGAAGGAGTTTGCGTGCTTCATGCACCTGCATGTTCAAATACTTAAAGAATGTTTGTTCACCTGAGGGGAGAATAGTTATTGCCTCAACACACCGGTGTGACTACATGAAGCTCTGGTTAGTTGGTAGAAAACACATTATTTATGAAACAGCATTGAATATAGCATGTAAAAAATACCATTCACAAATGTTTATGAAAAAAAGGCCCTGCTGAAATAAAACACTAAATTTAAACAGTAAGGGTTGGTAGGTCTTATTATGTTTGCAGTAAGAGATAGATTGTGGATGTTTTTTTGAAATTTGGGCAAAATGGCCCTTGAAGAAGGGAAACTGACAATGCTCTACAAATACAGTAATATACAGAGAAGAAGACAACTTGCTAGGAAACATGAAAACAGGGAAAAAAATCTGCTTCATTGTCTGTTACGCTGCCAACGAGGTTTGGTTTTCACCCAGTCTAGTTTATGATGCATTCACAACATTTGCCGGACATCAGTGCAACACTCTATGTTTCACTGAGAAACACTGAATGTCAGTGGGGCTCAGGAGTTTGGGCTGCTTGTTGGTCAGTTTGATCCCATGTCGAAGTGCTCTAGAGGGAGACCCCAGACTCATATCATCTTGCAGAACGTCTCACATGTGCAAGTAAAGGATATTAACATCCAGTTCTACTTAACTGATCTGAGAGTCACTGTGCAGCTTTCCAGCAAACGTGTGTGTGTGAGCTCTGTTCAGTTTAAAGCTGTTGCCCAGAGTTTGCAAATATTAATGTTCCACACAGGAGAATGTTTTCCAATGATGCTGCGGCTACACAGACGTATCCCCCATCGAGCAACACATGACAAGGTTCCTCAAACACTGAAGGACAGAGTCCGTGAACTCTGATTTGAAATATGCATGCAACCTTTTTGCATCAGATGAGAAACATTCAAATCTAATGGCGTGATTTCCATAAAATAACTAAGTGTGTTCTTGGTCCCAAGAGGATGAACCCTCTCAGCATCTCACCATCCCTCATCTTGGCCCAAAAGACGTCTAAAAATCTCATAGGAGGTTTACATTTTAATCCTATAGTTTAATCGAGAGAAAAAGTGAGTCCAGGGACTAATTAACACCCGCATAATGACATGTTACACTAATGGCAGAAATAAGAGGGTTGTACCCCTGGTCTGGTCTTCAGTCGCATGAAAGCCCCCACATTCACCCCCACCCTCACCCTCACAGCTCCTCCAATAGCTGCATACATCTGCTCATAATGAATTTAAAAGCTGCACGCTGGTTTACACACAGCCTCAAACTGAGCTGCAGGCCATTCTGCAACACAGCTCTTCCTCCTCTCTGCATTGACGCTGGATTCTCGCTGCGGTCCCTCCACCTGCCCCCCCATTCCACTTCTCCTCCTCTTGCATCACTCTCTCGCCTCTAACCCACCTCACCCCCAACCCCAACTTTAATATAATCCTGTGTTGCATTCTTCTTACCCTGTTATTCATTTCGCCTGCATGACCACTCACAGGAATATCAATATTGAGCACGTTCTCCATGTGATTTAATTTGTCATGTCTTCATTTCAGTATTAGTAGTCTCACTAAAATGTAAGTATATTTAAAGACACCAGTGTACACACTGCATAAACCCTCTTGCTTTCTCAGTGTGCGGTTAGTCGATGCTATTGACCACAATGCAATGCACAAAACATATTGTGGATAGCAAAAAGAAAAAGATGGAACTTCAGGTGAAGTGGTTCGGTCAAGTCCTGTTTCCACGGTTAAGAATGAACTTCCAGATTCAATTTTTAAGCCAACATAATGATCATTTTATTATCTTTTTATAAAGCTCCTTTCAAAACAGCCATTACAGAGAGGACAAATACAAACAACAATACCAAACATCTAAGACAAGAGAAAAATTAATACAATGTCATTAAAGATCACAGACAAATAATTATACAATAAAAAATCTAAAATCAATGAGAGCAGATCAAATAATAGAAAGTAAAAGCAAAAGAAAAGGATAGAAAATAACAGAAGTAACAGAATACAAATAGATAAGATGATGGACAAGACATCTGAAATGGCAGCTGAGACAGGCACCTGCTGGTCTTGGAAGGGTCATGGAGGAATCTCGAAACAGTGAAAGAGTACAATCAGTATGCAGAGCAGGAACAGAAGTCATACAGAGGTCAGAGGACACAAACACGAGATCTGCACAAGCAATTTATCAAAATAATCTAAAAATAAACAAATGAAAAGAGGCCCCTGATCTGATCTCCCACAAGGGGAAGCAGATAGCTATTTTGAGGAGGACATGTCAAAGGCTGTTGTGTTTTCATGTCTTAGGTAAAACAGGACATGATATTGTGTGATAGAGGATGTTTTTCTCCAAAAAAAACCCAATTGGTGTAAAACCTAAAAAATACACTCTCCCTGCTCTCTGAAACATTAAATAAGGATCAATCCATTTATTAAGGTCAGATAGGCTGTTAATGAGTTCTCAATAGATCTGTAGTTCACAATTCAGTATAGAGACGTATTTTGACCCAGACCAGACTGTGAAGGCATGAAATATGAGCAGTATGTGAGGGTTAAAATGTTAACATATGACATCACTGGGCTTAAGTGGTTTTATAGCACATTTCATCATAACTTAACTCTGCATGCTCTCCAAATTTACAACCAGTAAAAAGAATGGTGCATCCGGAGGTTTGACAGATCTCCGATCCTCAGGCAGCTTGTTCCTGAGAACAGCAATGTTGCCAAAGAGTGCGTGCTATAATTACCTGTTACACAATATACAACATCACCGGTATGTTGGTGATGTGATAACACTGCAGCTTCGCCTACACTTGAAACCATGAAAAGAATCTAAGGGGAGAGTGTTGCTCAGTAGGAGGAAATAACATTTATATCCAAGCACAATCTGACAGAGCAGTGACGATCCCTAAACACCACAGTGATTATACTGCCTAATCTTTGCCAAGCATAATGCCATGCCTGATTACCTCTTGTACTACATATATACACTGTATTACCTGTTGTAATACATATATACACTTTATTACCTGTTGTAATACATATACACACCTGATTACCTCTTGTACTACATATACACACCTTTTTACCTGTTGTAATACATATACACGCCTCCTGATTACCTCTTGTAATACATATACACGCCTGGTTACCAAAAGTATTGCCTATACACGCCTGACTACCTGTTGTACTATATATACACGCCTAATTACCTGTCGTACTACATATACACCCGTTTACCTGTCGTACTACATATACACGCCTTACCTGTAATGTCCTCTGATATCCTCCTCAGAGGCGCGTGCATGTACGCACCGGAAACTCCTCTTTTATTCACAGTCACTCAAACACTCTCACAAAAGGGCAAGCGCGGGCTACATGTTCGCATCGCTACTTCCGCTAGCACCGCTACTTCCGCTAGCACCGCTACATCCGCTAGCATCGCTACTTCCGGCAGTGGAGTTTTCGGCTAACAACATGGTGTGAATGACGCTGTTTCAAGACGAATGTGAATGTCGGGGCTTGCGGACACAGGGATGGCACCACGGGAGCAGTATGGAGGCATGTTGTTTTTTTGTCAGTTCTATAACGTCTGAAGAAGAGCTCACCTTATGTGTGATTAATGATATATATTTCTAATTATTTGCTTTATTTCCTTTTCCTGTTCTTAATCTAAGTTAAGTGTCCTCTCTACCAGTACTACTTGTCTTGTTTCCAGTGAACTAAAGGGAAGTGAAGCCACCTGAACTTTCATTAATCTTCTTCTTGAGTCCATTGTGAACACAACTATGTACATGTTTACCAAACAAGCAGGTTCACCCAAAACCAAATCAGTCGATGATGACGATGTTTCATTATTATCAAAATGTGATATGAGCTTCAATGTACTTACTGGGGACCGGCCTGTAGTGGTCACACTCTACAACACATTACATCCCACTTCAGATGTCTACTATATCTCAAGGAGAAATATATCTTTTAGTAAATTAATAATTTCTACTCCACCACCTTTATTAGTCAGCTGTAATTGCTAGTCATGTTATCCTTGCACATACCAAACACATGACAGACTTGAAATAGAAAAGGAAATAGAATTAATTGTAAGAAGTGAAACCATCCTGGAATATATAACTACCACCTTTACTTAAGTTATATAACTACTGGCACATTTTATTTTCAGTCCGTCCGTACTTGTAAGAATTGTACTTCTAATGGAGCATATGCAGATGTATTACTACTTTTACTGAACTAATATATCTGAATACTTCTTCCTCTTCTTCCACCACTATAATTTCTTTGTATTGAGCCTCTTATAATGTGCATCATTTTGCTGCTTTGACACTTTGATGATGCTCTGTGGGATGTGATTCACATTAGGGACCGAGCCATGCACAACATCCAGACTGAAATACAGTGTGTTATTACACCGTGGAAACCATAAGTATAAAATAACAACCCTCCAAGTGCAGCGAGTCTTTTTCTGGGCTAAGAGGGACACCTGGTGGAGAAGAAGCCCGATGTAAGTCCTCTGGGAATGTTCCACTGACAAGTCTAGGTAGACCTGCTCATGTGAAATTAACACATATTTGCATTTATGAATTAGTCTCTCATCCTTACATGTTAATTATTACATTACTCGTTCTGTGTAATTCTCAGATTTTTTCTTTGGTGTTGCTGTTTACGTTTTGTGCATCATATATTTGGCTCAGTATACTAATGTTAGTAGAATTACTATGTAAAAAAAATGAAATTGAATTAATTCATTTAAATTCAGTGTTTTTGTTTGACATCTTGCATAATTCATCGTGTTTATACCTCAAATTTGCTCCATATGCTACAGTATATTTATTTTTCTGTTATTTTTTTCATGTGCAATTTTGATAAATTTTGGAACACTCGTTTTTTATTACTGAATTGATTTGGATTATGAGCTCATCTTAGGTATTAAATAAGTAATAATGAAGAAATTTATTGAACACGCTGCAAAAACAGGTTATATTACACATCAGCAGTACAGTCCGTTTTTACATTTCATGTGTATCAAACAAACAGTGAGAAAACTGAATCGACAGATTTAATGGCATTCTCTGTCAACCCAGTACTTTTTTATTCTGATAGTTCACTTGTATCTCTCTCCTCCGTGTGCAAGTATTGTGTGATATTGCCTCATGCACTTGAAAGGCCTACGACTGCTAGGAGAGATACCAAGAGATTTCACACACACACACGCACACGCGTGCATGCATTCGCACACCCTCCACAGGCTGGGAGATGAGATAGGCAATTTATGTTGTCTGTTGACTGCCGGAGCTTCATATCACTCCCCTCAGCCCTGCGGATCAATCATTGTGCAGCAACATAGCACTGAAATATGGGAAAAAATAACAAGGGGAGGGTCCATTAATATTTCTCCAGACAAACCCCCTCCGTGTTGTTTGGACAAGTTAAAGAACTCCTGGCTCCAAAATCTTAAAGCAAGACAGGCTGTTTTGTTTCTGAATTGGCAGGTGTCATTCAAAGGCTGCCTTGATGTGCTGCCGTCCAGTGGTGGATCATGGGAATTAACCTGGACTCTCTCTGCATTGCAGCCAAAAAGACAAAAAGAGAGCGGGAGAGAGAGCTGGAAGCAGCTGATATGGGGCTGAGCAGAGTAAAAAGGCAGGAGGGGCAGAGTGGGTTTATTCTGCACCTCTCTATCTCTTAATCCCTCCATCTTCTTATTCAGCCTGTGTGCTGTTCTGGGTGCAGTTCATGTGCTTTAGGCGGCTGTGGCGAGGCGTTTCAATGGCTACACAATGAATGCGAAATGAACAGCATGCAGTGAAAAACAGTCAGAGATAAATGATACTAACTCTTTTTTTTTTTTTGGCTGCAATTTACCTGATGTATAATCTCCTGACGCTGACATTGATTGTTAAAAGAACCTGAATTTCATATCATCAAATTGATCAATTGAACAAAACTCCCATGTAGTCATACCATTACCCAACAACGATTTATTGTTGCGTCAACAGGTGATTGTTTTCTCGCAAAAATACAGCCGAGAGAGAGAGAGAAGAGAGAAGGGGGGAACAAAATGAAGCCAGTGAATGTTTCTGTGTCTCTCAGAGCTAAAAAGCAAAACCTGAGCATGAGCCACACTGGAAAGAGAGAGGGGGGAAACTCAGAGAAGAGTTAAAATTGACGCGGTGGAGATCTTGAAGCCATGCAGTTAACAGAATATTGCCTTCAAATAACACTCGCACATGCTTTTCCAAAATCAAACATGCATTGGGTATTTCAGTGGGGTAAGGAGGTGTAAATAGTCGACATTTTAGCAATACAAATTTCTAAATGTTTCTGATAATAAACATTTGTAGAGCATGTTACACACTTTTTAAGAAAAATTCAGCAATCCCTTTTATTCACTTGATTGTTTTAAGCAAACGATAAATGAGCATTAATAAGTAAAAATAAAATACAAAATAAAATATATATTTAGTATGGATCTGCCTTGATAATGCCGATGTGTGTCACAAAAAACCACAAGCAAATTCAATCACTACTACTAATTCAAAGAGCGTTTTTGTAAACGATCAACCATCGCAAGCGCAGACTCAGTCGTCACAAGGCTGTGAGTGCAGTTCGGATCACAGTGGTCACGGACAAGTTCAGCATCTCCTCTAGAAAGAAGCCACCTCACTAAGGCTTTTTATAGTTTTAGTCACCCATCTGGAAACGTCTCCTTTCTTTTGTTTTTCAGGAAGGTGTGTTTTCGTGTCGCCATCCTCTTGGAACAATTTATATATCAGTATATATATATATATATACATATATATATGTATATACATATACATATATATATATATACATTTTCTTTTTTTTAGAAAAGAACTACGAAAAATCATGCAACTACCATTTCATTTTCGTGAGACAAAAATCAGTTGGTGCTCTTGACTTGATTTTTCTCTTGCTGGTTGGGAGTTTTTGGGAGGTGAGGTCAGCGTGGGCATTTTTTAGGCACTGCCATCCTGTTTGAGCCGCTGACTGCGAGCCTTGTAGACCTCGATCAGTAAATCTTTGACGTACTGGATTTCTCGCTCCACCGACTCCGCCTTGTCACGAAGCTCCCGGTTCTGCCCCTCCAGGCCGTGCAGCTCCTCCTCCAAAGAGTCCAGCTCCGCCCTCTTACGCAGCCTGTACCTGGGAGAGAAAAGAATGCCCTCGTTGGTTTTGCAGGTTTGTGCAGCCTGGCATCTTTATTAATGAGTCGAGTGAGAGAGCGTGACCTCTGGGGCTACGTCTCGTGGATTACCCACACAGCTCAGACACACCTTCCCTCAGAGAACAGGCTGTTTATTCCACCCACTGCACTGATCAATCTCTCCCTTTTCTACTTTTCCTCTACCTTTTAAAATGTACATTTTAATTTTTACACAGATATGAGTGAGACTTACACACACAGACAGAGCAGACTTATACAAATGACGAGGTGGGGCTGAATCTGGCAAGCAGTGAGGGACTTTCCATTTCCCTCCTACACTCTGTCGGACATTTAAAGCAAGGGGGTGACTGTTATATGTTAAACTCCAGCCATGTTAAAAAAAACACTTATTATATCATTATAGCATTCACCACCATATTATATGATTAATCGATGGATAATGACCCACACAAACAATGGCTGATTTTTTTTTAAAAAGCTAAACACTTGTGGTGGTGTTTTTTTTGTTTTTTTCATTATAAACCACGTTTTCAGGCTTCTGAGCACAAAGTCTGGTTTTAGGTGTTTTTGAGAGTTTTAGTGAGAAGAGAGGAGGAAAGTCAGTTGTTTACCTGTGAGCAGCAGTTTTGTTCTGGTCTCTCTTCTTCTGCTTCCTCTCTCCAGTGTTGCCCTCCAGAGAAGCGGCGCCCATCACCAGCGATGGTTTGATGGAGCAGTGCTCATCCTTTAGCCTCTGGGTGGGGCGGTGGATGGGGGCACCCATCAGCGACCCCTCGCCCTCCCCTCTGGACAGACATTCGTAGCTTTGGTCTGCAAGGCATTCTGGATAGAGGTAGTGGCCATGTTGGGGCTCTACAGCCTGTGCTTGTGACGGCTGATCTAGGTCACCTATAAAGCTATGGTAAGGCTCTGTGCTGGCCATGGACTGGTGGAAGTAGCCGTCACCGGCCACCATTGTCTCTTGGGGCATACTTCCAGAAAGTCCTCCATCTTTGCTGCAGTGCAAAACATCTAGCCCCGAGCTGTCGTAACTTACATTGACCTTCACGTTGTGCATCAACTGTCCCTCTCGCTTGTGGTGGCTCTCGTACGAGCCACCCAGACAAAAACCTCGAGCAATCTCCTCGCTGCAAAACATTCCTTCTGAAAAACAATAACTCTCCTCTTCCTTCAACGATAAAGCACATTCTCTCACCTTCTTGACGCTGCCCAGGCTATTCTTGCTCACTGTCTTCAGTGTGGAGTAGTGGTTCACAGACAAGTCTGTGCTTCCTGAGTAACCTCCCCTGGAGCCCCACGTATCAAGTCCAACTTCCTCCCCGACTTTCACAGCCTCACTGATGATTCTCCGCCCATTGTTGTGGTGGTAGCGGTGATGGTAGTTGTATGGAGCGGGTCGAGCAATTTTGGTTCTGCCGATTGGACCGCCACAGAAGCTGGCCAGGTCCAGTTCCCCGGTTGCCAAGGTAACAACCACAGGGCTGGCTTCTGATTGACTGGACCCATACGACCCATAGGGTAACTGATAATAAGATTGGGAGCCCATGGCTTGAGCACCCTTGTCACATTTTGAGGATTTCTCCAACTTGCTTGTCGTGGATGTGGACTCGGAGCGGAAGTAGTCCTCCAGCTGAGCCAGCTCCTCCTGCAGCAGAGAGGTCATGACCTCCAGATCCGAGGGCACCTTGACATCTTGTTCTAATGGCGAGGGTGGAAGGGAAGAGCTTGGAGAAGACTCGCTCGTTGACACAAATGAAGACAAATCAACTTTTTCCGTCATCCAATCTGAGTGACCATCACCTATAAGATTCATCAAAAAATAAAAACCATACAGTGAGTAAAACAATCCATTTTTTTCATTCAGCTATTTGTATAAAATAACTGAAATAAAAACTACAAATTCAGGAAAAAAATTCCTAAACCACGCAAGGGTGAGAGGATTAAAGCTGAAATTAAAACCAAGCAAAACATCCGGAAAATCAGAGTGAACAACTAACCGATCATCTGAAAATGATTGAACAGCATCGTCTGCATTCGATAAATATCCACTTAGCTGTACTCACTGTACGACATTAGCCCCGTGCTGCACTGCGGCTCCGACCTCGGGATGTGGAAAAATAAAAAAGCGTCTTGGCAAAACTCACCAATTAAGTGCTGCCTCTCCACAGGCTCCGCCCCTGTCCTGGCCCGTGATTGGCTGTGGCTAGCCTGTTGGAGAAGGGGAGCGCCGAGCTCGCCTGTGGAAATGGGAGGAATTTTCCTGCGAAGGATCGATGCCGCCATTGTGTCGTCTGCTACGATCGAATTGTTCAAAAGCACAAACCGTGCACTGGGTGGATGAAAGAGCGGTGGAAGACCTGTGGGGAAATAATAAGGAAATAAATAAAAGTCACAAAAATGAATTTAGCCTATAAATCCCCAAATTTACCCTGTAAACCTGTAAATAATTAAATTACCCATTAATATCCAATTAATAATAACATTATGAATATAATTATTTAAAAATAGCACACAATTACTTTAATTTAAGGGAATATTAAGTTAAATTAAACTTTTCCAAACACTTGTCAGCTTATAATATGTGTCACAACTATTTATTTATGGGGGGGGGAAAAACAGTAAGACTAAAACAAACAATTAACTATAAGAAAAACATGGAAAACAATTAAAAAGCATGTTTAAGACATTTTAATTACTTGATACTTTCACCTACATGATGTTAAAAAAAAGTTATTTGACATGATGTCAAGGACAGAAACACTTGAATTCATCATTTAACAATATCAAATAAAAATAAATTCACTACTCTCACACCTGAAAAATAACTTTGCTGTGGTGGCAATGGCGATAATGGATGAAAAACAAGGCGAGAGAACAACGCGAGATGAGTTTGATGTTGCTCTACAAACTAAGTCTCAGCTGGTGGAGCAGCTCGCTCCGCAGACACAACACTTGGTGACTTACCCCATAGTTTCTGAGTGGTGCGGTGGAAGTGCGCTGCAGGAGCGGAGCACACGGAGCAGTGAGGCGAGCACGAACACGGAGACACTTTTAAAAAGACATCTTGTCTCCTCCGGAAGCCGCAGACTCTTGTCGAAGCGCTATTTCGGCGAGATCACTTGCGGACAGAAAGTTTTTAAAAGCCGCTACTTCTCCAACTCCTGAATGCCCGGGACCTGATCACGCGAGACGGGATCAATGCGCGGTTTGCAGCGCTCGCCCTGGTCGTTACGTCATGGACCCGGGGACTTTCCCATGATTCCACAGGCCTCACACACTCCCCCCCACACCCCCCCTTACACCCCCTCCTGCTATTCATTACACTTCATTCCTCTTGTTTCTGTTTAAATTTTATATTTACACTAAATCTGAATGGTTTGTTGCAGCATTAATATAATTGGCAGTGAAGTTTCTAATTGTACCCAGAAGAGCAGTCGTGTGTTCTCTTTACAAATCACAAATAACTTCTTTATTCAAACATATGAGTGTGGCTGTTTTGTTTTTTTTAAATAAAGTTTTCGCCCTGTTGGAAAAAGTCTCTCCCAGGACACAGCAGTCTTCAAAGTCTATAAACGATCAGCGTCTCTCATCCATCCACAGTGAAAGTGATAAAAAAAAAAAGCAGCGGGTCAAACACTAAACATTAAAAACCCTTCAACTCAATTTCACTTCCACACGGAGCGAGCGCGCGGCACAGCCGGATCTAGTTGTCTGTGCGCCGCGGCGGAAGGACATGGTGTTGCAGTTCGAAGGTGTAACTTTAGTTGCAGCCCTGTTGCATCAGATCCGCTGGGGATTCGCTGAGCGCTGTAACAATGTGGCCACACCATTGGTTTATCCGGGGGAACTTTTCTGTTTCTATTGGCCTGCCGTCAGTCTCACGCTGATTGCTGATCATCACACATTAGCAGCGACCTGGGACTGGAGGAGAGTCTGGTGCAGGCGGAGGTGATGAGGCGCTGGAGCCTGAACTCACCCATCACTCTGCACTGCACTTTGTTTGTGTTCTCCACCGGCACAGTGTCCTGCTGCTGTCTGAACCATAGGTCTGAACCCTCTTCATGTGTCTGCTCACTGAGCACTGACTCTAATGTTAGCAAATATGTCTATACTGACATTACTCAAAGTGTTGATGTAGTGAATACAACTAAGTTCACCAGCTTACTGCAACTACAGCTGGAGAGGTTCCTGATAATATCCCAGGTATTGGTAATTCAAAGTTTGCAAAAGTATTTCTTTAACACAAATACAGTAGATAAAGTCAGCAGTATAACAGAAATACATGTGGACTGAGGCCTTTTGAGTA